GACTTGCTGTGAGCTGTAATGCCATGGCACTCTACCCAGGGGGACAGCTTGAGGCTCTGTCTCAAAAAAAAAAAGAAAAGTAGAACTTGTGCCTCTAAAGTATGGGCATGGAGTGTATCATTTATCATTTATCATTCTTTGAAGAGCACAAAAATTTAACTGTCTTAAATGAATGATTTTATGAAAGAGGCCTACCTTTATTATAACTATTTTGAAAATGAGTCTCAAACATTAGCAGTTTCCCCAAACTTTATTGTTAAAAGATGTGAAGTATGTCATAATGGAAAGCATTAGGAATAAGAAATCAGTGATAGAAAAAGTGTTTAAAGATTCTAATAGTTTTTACATATACTCTATATCAGGGGTCCTCAAACTTTTTAAACAGAGGGCGAGTTCACTGTCCCTCAGACCATTTGAGGGCCGAACTGCAGGCCTCAGGACTAGTCGGCTGCTAAGCAGGACAGGCAGCGACAGCAAAAACAGCCAGCGGGCCGATAAAATGTACTAGGCGGGCCACAGTTTGAGGATGCTTGCTCTATATGTACTCTGATAGTAAATATTGTGGCTCAGTGGTTGTATCTTACTTATCATATTAAAGTTTCCATTTTGTGTTGCTATACATAAGAGAATGTTGGTAAATGTCTTTATATGGGATCTAATACATACTATATAGATTTACATGTTTACATTTTAATATGAAAGTAATAAAAATATTTACTTGTAGTTTTCAAGAAATCTATGAAGCCAAAAGACAGGAGTTCCTTGAACAATGTCAGAAGGAAGAAGAAGAGTTGAAACAGAGATTTATGCAGCTAGTAAAAGAGAAAGAAACAACATTTAAGGAAGCTGAAAAAGAGGTAAGTATTGCCAGTTTGACATAATTTATATTCATTTTTTAAATGTCCTGTTAATTTGAGTGGTTGTTTTTTTTTGGCTAAGGCTGGGCGTGAATCCGCCACCTCCGGCATATGGGGCTGTGCCCTACTCCTTTGAGCCATAGGTGCCGCCCTAATTTGACTGTTTTAATCTTTAGAGTTTAGTTGATGTTTTCACAGAATACTTTCTATTTTTTAACAAGAAGCTATTTACCATGTAAGGTTTTAACACAGCCTTTATAAATTATACCATGTGCTTTTATTTTTTCTAGGGCACTTGAATAATTTTCCATTTAAATAACCTCTAAAGTAATTTTATAAAATGCATTTAACTTTATTTTATTTACATTTTTAGTTTTCATGCATTAAGTCAATTTTCTAATAAGCTTAATCTATTTACTTCTTAGAAGAGTAATGTTCTTTCTATCACTATTACTGCATTATAAAGTATTCTTCACTTTTATGAATAAGTGAATGTTGACAAATGCAGTCTTGATTACTTAGAGAACTTTTAGTTGGTGAATTATATGATTTTTTTTGTTTGTTTTATTCTATGCTATATCCAAGAAAATGGAAAAGGAGGGCTATGAACGTAGTTTTGATTATTTGCCACAAATAAGTTTTATGATGAAGGCATATATTTAGAACCAGAACTTCTTTTCTCAAATGCAGATGGCTTCAGTTTAAGAACATTTAATTTTAGTAGGTAAATTGGAACATGTACTTACTTTTACATGGAAATAAGATGGTGATTAGGTGCTACAGACCAGATGTCTCAGGCAGGGACCATTGAATAATAAGTAATAGAAATTCCATTCGCTTGGATATAAAGGGCAAGTTTGGAAGCATACAAGTATATCTCATGGCATCCAGGTATAGCTGCAACTCATGAAGACTTACATGCAAACTAGGAAGAGTCCAGAAACCAAAGCAACCATTTAAATTTTCTATTTCTTCCCTACCTTATTTTCCTCCATTATGATCCTTATCTCTATACATCAGCTTCATTTTCTCTCCCTGCAATCAGTTTTTTCCCCATTTCTCTGTTACATGTTCTTAGAACTGACCACAACCTAAAATTGCTTGTGCAAAGTGATGAGTAGCCGAGGTTCTTAATAGGGTTTAATCATTTCTTCAGAAAGGCACAAGTGAATTTCTGGTAGTAAAAAAACAACCAAGATTTTAAGGGCATCCATAGAACGAGGTGACAAGAAAACAGGCCCACTTGGTTTGCTTAGGAGTAAATTAATCATTTTTAACATGGTAAGTAAATAGCAACTCTAACTGACAAGGAAATAGGAAGCTCACAGAGGTAATCTTTCCCAGCACATCCACCAGATGGATAAATCAGAATTTAAATTGAAGTCTTTAAAATTTCAAATACTGAAAAATTAAATTTTCACATAGTTCCTAGAAAAAGAACAAGCCAAATCCAAAGTCAGCAGAAGACAATAAATGACAAACATAAGAGCAGAATTAGGTTAAAAGGAAATAAAAAATACAAAGAATCAATGAAATAAGAAGTTTGGGCTCAGCGCCTGTGGCTCAAGTGGCTAAGGCGCTAGCCACGTACACCCAGGGTGGCAGGTTCGAATCCAGCCTGGGCCGACCAAACAACAATGACGGCTGCAACCAAAAAATAGCCAGGCGTTGTGGCGGGCGCCTGTGGTCCCAGCTACTTGGGAGGCTGAGGCAGGAGACTCGCTTGAGCCTGTGTGTTGGAGGGTGCTGTGAGCTGAAATGCACTCTACCCAGGGGGACAGCTTGAGGCCCCTGTCCTAAAAAAAAAAAAAAAAAAAAGAAAGAAGTTTGTTTTTGAAAATATCAACAAAATTGATAGACCATTAGCTTTATTAACCAGAGATAGAAGAGAAAGAATTCAAATAAACCCAATCAGAAATGAAAAAGAAGACATTACAACTGGTACCACAGAAATGCAAAGTATCATCCATTATTTCAAAGAAATCTTCTGTGCACACAACTAGAAAATCTAGACATTTGGGTATATTTTTGGAAACAGCACTACGTCCCAAGCCTGAATCAGGAAGAAATATAAATCCTGAACAGACCAATTAGGAGTAGCATGATTTAAACTGTAATAAAAAAAAAATCTGAATAACAACAAAAAACCCAGACCCAGATGGATTCACAGCAGAATCTACCACATCTACAAAAAAAAACTTTTCCTTATCCAACTGAAACTATTCCATGACACTGAGGAGGGATTTCTCCCTAACTCATTCTGTGAAGCCAGTATCCATCTTATACCAAAGCCAGGAAAGGACACAACAGCAACAACAAAAACTACAGATCAAGATGACTCATGAACATAGATGGAAAAATTCTCAACATAGTAGCTAGTGAATAGAAGTGGTGATAGTGGGCATCCTTGTCTTAGTCCAGTTCTAAGGGAGAAGCTTTCAACTTTCCCCCATTCTGTATGATATGAGTTTGTTGTACAAGGTTTTTATAATTCTGAGATATGTTTCATCTATTCCTATTTTGTTAAGAGTTTTTAATTACTAAAGGATGATGAATTTTGTCAAATACTTTTTCTTCCTTGACTCAAATGACCAAATGGCCTTTGTTTTTACTTCTGTTTATGTGGTGAATTACATTTATGGATTTAAATAGTTGAACCATTTTTGCATCTCTGGAAGGAAGACCACTGGTTGCGGTGGATTATTTTTTTATTTTTGAGACAGAGTCTGTCTCACTATGTCACTCTTGGTAGAGTGCTGTGGCATTACAGCTCACAACAACCTCAAACTCTTGGGCTTAAGTGATTCTCTTGCCTCAGCCTCCTGAGTAGCTGGGCCTACAGGTGCCCACCACAACACCCGTCTATTTTTTGGTTGTAGTTGTCATTGTTTGTTTAGCAGGCCTGGGCTGGGCTCGAACCTGCCAGCCTCAGTGTATATGACTGATACCCTACCCACTGAGCTACAGGTGCTGAGCCAGATTATTTTTTTTAATGTGCTGCTGAATTCAGTTTGATGAAATTTTATTGAGGATTTTTTCATCTATATTCATAAGGGATATTGGTCTGTAGTTTTCTTTTTCTGTTGTGTCCTATCCTGGCTTTGATATCGAGGTGATAATGAGCCCTCAGTCTGTGGGATCTAATGCTATCTTTAGGCAGATTACATCATAATCAAATAGAATGATAGGATAACCAATTGGTGTCCACTGAGGAATTGATTGCTTGTTTATGGGTGGAGAGAAATCCTCACATATTTAATCACAGAAATCTTCTGTGTTGATTTTAGTGGGGTGACAGCAGGGGGAAATTGTTTGTTATGTTGCCTAATTGAGACTTTCTCGTTTCTCATTTTCCTGAAATGTGTAATCTACTTTATGAATCCCATATTACTGTACCATTTGGTAATATTTTTTATGCTTAGGTTACTTTCCACTCTATTAAACACAGCTATTTCTTAATAGAAGATGCTGCCTTTCCATCCTTTCCATGTCTCAAGCAACCTTCTATTTGCCCCCAAATTGATTAATGTATGTGTACACACAGGGTAAGCTGGCTCAATTTTTAAACACATAGAAACACAATTGCTATGTCTGTGCTTTTAAAACATGAACAATATTAACCAGCAAGTATGGGTGAAATAATGGATACTCTCTCAAGAGAGTACTGTATGAAATAAATCTCACAGATTTATAAGAGACTTTATTAATCATTTCTTTTGATGTTCCCTTTAATACTCACACTAATCACTCTGTCATTAAATGCTTCTCAGGTCAGGGAGCTTACTGACTCAGACAGCTACCCATTCCATTTTTGAGCAGTTAAATTTTGAACAGTTTATATAGTGGGATGAGGTTTAGTTCTCTCTCATTTCTACTCTTGTCTTCCCACATTTAAGTGGAATATTTTCTCAGTGATTTTGCTGTGAGGTTGCATTAAGCCACAGCTTCAAAAAAAACATAGCTTCTCTAACTCATACAAGCAATCCTTGTGCTGTTAAACAAAGTTATGTTAAAGACTTAGATCTGGGCTAGGCACCTGTGGCTCAAGCGGCTAAGGTGCCAGCCACATACACCTGAGCTGGTGGGTTTGAATCCAGCCCAGGCCTGCCAAACAACAATAATGGCTGCAACCCAAAAATAGCCAGATGTTGTGGCAGGCACCTGTAGTCCCAGCTACTTGGGAGGCAGAGGCAGGAGACTCGCTTGAGCCCAGGAGCTGGAAGTTGCTGTGAGCTGTGATGCCACAGCATTCTACCTAGGGGGGGACAGTTTGAGGCTCTGTCTCAAAAATATATATATATAATTAGCGTAACCTAATTCTTTGTACCTTCAATGAATCCCAAACAATAAAAAAGAAAAAAAAAGTTTTGGGTTTTAGCTGGGCGCGGTGGCTCACACCTATAATCCTAGTACTCTGGGAGGCCGAGGTGGGTGGATTGTTCCAGCCCTGAAGTCAGAGACCAACCTTAGCAAAGCAAGATCTTTTCTCTACTAAAATAGAAAAGCTAGCTGGGGGTGTGTTTGGCACCTGTGGGTCCCAGCTACTCAGGAGGCTGAGATAAGAGGATTGCTTAAGCCCAAAAGTTCAAGGTGGTTATGAGCTGTAACACCCGGGCACTCAACCCCAGAGTGACAGAGTAAATATTTCTTTTTTGTTTTTTTCTACACTTGGGCTAATTTTAATTAACAAGAAAATTATCAGACGTTCTTCCATAAAGGTCTTACCTTTACTAGAAAATTATCAGACTTTCTTCCATAAAGGTCTTTACTAGATCGAAAGTAACTGTTTGACAATCGATGCTATGTCTTAGCGTACATATTTTCAGTGAGCATGGATTTCTCATATTTCATTAGAAAAGATGTTGTGGAGGATCTATTCGATAGCCAGAAAAAAACAAGCGTCTTCTTTTGCATGTTCTGCCGCATTGTGCTTTGAGTCACGGCTGCACATTGATTTCATAGCTCCAGGACAAGTTTGAACACCTTAAAAAGGTCCAACAAGAGGAGATCACGAAGCTCGAGGAAGAGAAGAAACAACTGGAAGAAGAACTAATAGATTTCCAGAGAATGAAGGCTTCCTCTGAAACGCTGGCGACTCCGGTGTTAGTCAGTGTGAAGAAAGACAAAGATCGTAAGAAATAGTTCTCTCTTACCCCTCTGTCTGTTACAGAGCCCCATTAGTCTCCATCCCGTCTTTCTGTGAGATTGCCTCTGTAGCATTTAGCTCTAACTGCTGTTGTAATTTTTAAAATTCCTGTGCTTGTTCTTTCCCCCCCCAAGCTCCTTAAAAGGAGGTACCTTGTTCATCTTCTGAGATGCTGTATCCCCAGCATGTAGAACACAGACTAACACGAAGATGGCACTTGAGAAATATTTGCTAATGTGAACAAATAAAAGAAATATATAACATCCTGTACAAAAAGATCGGTAGGCAGAAAAGTCATTTTACCATAGCCTGGCCTGTGGCTCCTTTAGTGACTTTTACATTTTATATCTAAGCAGAAGCTGGGGCTTTGTTGCATACTCATAGGCATAAAAATGTTATAAAAATCTAATCGTTAGGCTCATTTTCCTTCTTAAAGTCTAATTGTAATAATTTATTGATAATTTTTATTATAATAAAACATTGGACTTTGATTAGAACTCCTGTGCTTTCATGTCAGACCCTTGTAAAATTTATAATAGAATAAAGAATTCAAGAGGTAGAGAGAGCCAGAGTACAATGGGAAGCCATGAGTAGCATTTGGATGATAATATTATGCCTTCCAGATTTGGGGATATATTAAAGTTATCAAAGTTATAGAGAATCAAGTGGGGATTTTTTTGTATTTTTGAAAGCTTCCATCTGACTTTATATACTGATTTTCTGAATTTAAAATGTTTTTGTTAGTTCACCTATTTGAGTGTGATTGTTTGTTTTGAGACAGAGTGTTACTCAGTTGCCCCAAGTGCCATGGCATCACAGCTCACAGCAACCTCAGACTCTTGGGCTCAAGCAATTCTCTTGCCTCAGCCTCCCAAGTAGCTGGGACTACAGGCACAGGCCACAACACCTGGCTATTTTTAGAGACGAAGTCTCACTCTAGCTCAGACTAGTCTCAAACTAGTGAGCTTTAGGTGATCTGCCTGAAGTTCTGGGAGTTCTGGGATTACAAGTGTGAGCCACAGCACCTGGCCTGAGTGTGGTTGATTTGTACCAAGACTCATTGTATTAAAATGGTAACTTTCAGGTTCTTCATCTCTGTTTACTCTAACTGCATCTAATTAGTACACAGAGCTCTTCTCATGTTTCTTTTTAAAAGAGTTCCAACAATTTGTCTGTTGAAATTTTGTCATTGCATCCATTTCAAATGCAGTATTTTTCCAGGATATTAGGATGTTGAACTCAGGCTCAAAATATTTTCAGAAATGTTATCTCCAGGGCAGCTCCCATAGCTCACTGGTTAGGGCACCAGCCACATACACCAAGGCTGGAGGTTTGAACCCGGCCTGGGTCAGCTAAACAATGACAACTGCAACAAAAAAATAGCCAGGTGTTGTGGTGGGCGCCTGTAGTCCCAGCTACTTGGGAGGCTGAGGCAAAAGAATCACTTAAGCCCAAGTGCTTGATGTTGCGGTGAGCTGTGATACCACAGTACTCTACAGAGGGCAACATAGTGAGACACTGTCTCAAAAAAAAAAAAGACAGAAACGTTATCTCCAATTAAAAAACTTTTACTTCATGAAAAAGTTATGCGAAAAATATGGGGAAAGGGAAGTAAGTTCACAATGATTTTTATACATGTATGTTGTTAAATCATCTTGCAGATGTTATAATTTTGTGGAAGAGAGATTCTACTACATAATCATTTAATGGAACACTACAAGGACCAGGATCTCTCAAATATCCATTCCCAGACCTAGAACAATACCAGATGCATCGTGGCAATTATTAATTGAACAAATGGACACAATACTAGTACATTAGCTATATTATATGCACAAATAGTTTAATTTAGATCATTGATGTTTGAAAGATAATAGTCTCAACACCTGTAGCTCAGTGGCTAGGGTGCCGGCCACATACATCAGAGCTGGAGGGTTTGAATCCAGCCCAGGCCTGCCAAACAGCAAAGATAACTACAACAGAAAAATAGTTGGGCGTTGTGGTAGGTGCTTAAGCCCAAGTGTTTGAGGTTGCTGAGAGCTCTGATGCCATGGCACTCTACCCAGGGCGACAGCTTGAGACTCTGTCTCAAAAAAAAAAAAAGATAATATAATTTATTATTGCTTTTTTCTTTTTTTTTTTTAATTGTTGGAGATTCATTGAGGGTACAAAGATCCAAGTTACACTAATTGCATTTGTCAAGCAAAGACCCTGATATAAATATGTTCCTCCCCTAAAAGGCATGCCAAACATTGTAAACCCCGCCTCCTTCCCTCTCTCCGCTCCCCCATTCCCCCACCGCCCACCATATACTAGGTCATCAATTGTAGTGTTGCTTTTTAACATGCTTGTGAGTTATACTGCTGAGGGACTTTATCTTCTCATTCTTTCATCTTAATCCAATGTTATTAAAACTGAAATCACCAGTGTTATTCCATATAGTAAAAATATTTGCCCTGTGGAAATTATCACTCTCCTGCATTTAAGAATAGACTTTTTTTTTTTTTTTGAGACAGGAGCCTCAAGCTGTCCCCCTGAGTAGAGTGCTGTGGCATCACAGCTCACAGCAACCTCCAACTCCTGGGCTCAAGCAAGTCTCCTGCGTCAGCCTCCCAAGTAGCTGGGACCACAGGCGCCCGGCACAACGCCCGGCTATTTCTTGGTTGCAGCCGTCATTGTTATTTGGCAGGCCAGGTTGGATTCAAACCCGCCACCTTGGGTGTACGTGGCTGGCACCTTAGCCACTTGAGCCACAGGCACCGAGCCTTAAGAATAGACTTTTTAGGAAATAATGGGAGATCCATAGGAATTTTTTAAGAGAAGAATTCATGCTAAACAGAACTATATTTTTGTTTTTCTTTTTTCCCCAAGGGTATAAAACATGATATTATATAATAGTATATGGCGCATTTTTGCTATTTCCATAATTTCCCCCCCCAAATTAGTGTTTATTTCCCATATAACTTTTAACTTTATGAATACAATTGGTATTTTTCTCTTTCAGCTACAGTGTTATACTCCAGATTTATGTAACATGGGAATTTTTAATAAGTCAGTGTTACATTTATTTTTTCAATAACTGACTTCTTTTGTGTTTAGCTGATTATTTGTAGTGATATTTTTGTTTTTATTCTCCATTGCTTTTGTGTATATTCTGTACATATTTTCTTTTTGGTTACTATGAGGATAACATAGTAATCTTCAAGTAACTATGGATTAGGTAACTTTAGGATGTCATCCTCAAAGGTTACTCCTAAAATTACAATAATCTAGTTTGAATTGATTTCAACTGCAATCATGTACCAAAATTCTACCACTGTATAGTTCTATTCTCTTTATGTTATTAATGTAACAAATTATGTCTTTATTCATTGTGCACCAACCAATAGATTCATAATTACTTTTCATGCATTTCTTAAATCCTATAGAAAATTTAAAATGAATGCACAAAACAAAATTATAATAATACTATTTTTATATTTGTCCTTGTATTTTTACCTTTACTGGAGTCTTTGTATCTTTTTTTAGTCATTTAACACAGTTGTATTTATTTATTTATATATATATTATTTTTTTTAAGAGTTTCAGTTGCCTTCTGTAGAGTGCTGTAGTGTCATAGCTCACAGCAACCTCAAACTCTTGGGCTTAAGCGATTTTCTTGCCTCAGCCTCCCAAGTAGCTGAGACTATAGGCACTCACTACAACACCCAGCTATTTTTTTTTTTTTTTGGAGTTGTTACTGTTGTTTGGCAGTCCTGGGTTCGAACCCACCAGCCTTAGTGTATGTGGCTGACACCTTAATCACTGAGCTATGGGCACTGAGCCTGGAGACTTTATATCTTTATATAGCTTGTTTACTTTCTTGTATAGTTAACTGTCTAGAATTCTCTTATTCCAACCTGAAAGACTTCCTTTAATGTTTCTTGTATGACATATTTAGAGATAAGGAATTAGCTCAGCTCTTTAAAACATCTGGAAATGTCTTAATTTGTCCATCATTTTTGAAGGACAGTTTTGCCAGCTGTATATTTCTCAATTAACAGGTTTTTTCTCATCACTTTAAATATATCATCTACTACCTTCTGGCCTCACCAGTTTCTGCTGAAAAATCAGCTGATAATAATATTCAAATCCTTTGCCTTTGATGGGCTGCTCTGCTCTTGGTGCTTGTAAGACTCTCATTTAGTCTTTTGCCAGTTTGACCAAAATCTGACTCAGTCTCAGTCTGTGTTCATTCTACTAAGAATCTGTGTTTTCTAGATTTGTAGGTTTATGTATTTCCTCTAATTTAGGAAGTTTTTAGGTATTATTTGTTCAAATAATTTCTCTCTCTTTTCTTTCTGGGATGCCTATAATACATGTTAGTCCAGATGATGCTGTCCCACAGTCCCACAGTCCCACAGTCTCTGTTCCCATTTTTTTCCTTCTGCTTCTAAGACTTGAAGATTTGAAATATCTTATCTTTGAATTGAGGGATTCTTTCTTCTGCCTGCTCAAATCTGCTGCTAACCTTTGTATTAGTCAGAATTCTTCAGAGAAATAGAACCAGTAGGGTACATAATATATATTATATATGTGTAAAATAAATTCTTTCCATCTATCTATTTAGTAAGAAATTGGCTTATGTTGTAATGAGGAATGAGAAGTCCCACAATCTGCCATCTGCAAGCCCGAGACCAAGGAATGGTAGTGATACAGTTCAGTCCAAGACTGAAGGCCTGAGAACCAAGGGAGCTGATGTTGTAATTTTCAGTGTAAATGTCCAAGACTGGTATTCTAGCTCAAGCAGTCAGGCAGAAAGCATAGATTTTCCCTTCTTCCGCCTTTTTGTTCTAAGGCCTTTTTCTCAATCTACCAATTCTAATGCTACTCTCATCTAAAAACTTCCTCAAAAACTTACCCAGAAATATTTGCTAATTTTCTAATATCCATGATTCAGTCAAGTTGATGCATAAGTTATTTATCACAGATTCACACCTTGTCCCTGCATACATAT